GAGAGGAGAGGAGAGGAGAGGAGAGGAGAGGAGAGGAGAGGAGAGGATAAATTTCCTGGCTCAAGCTGGGAATGTATTGAATGCTTAGAGCCAGAGAAACAATAATTTAGAGGGGAGTATTTCCCTGGATTCTGCACTACTAATAAATCATTGCTGGTCATGCAATTTTTAGTGGTCCCAACAATGATTACATTTTGCATACACTGGTCACTCTTCGAGCCTACACACTGTCCTTTGTTCTGCTCTCTGCAGTACTAATGCCCCAAGTGTTCTCAGGTGCCGAGGAACAAAATTTTTGAATAAAAAGGAAAAGGTGTGAATCTGTCTTTATGCAACACACTCACACATGCGTACACAACACCTTGGGTCCAAGGAAAATATTATTTATGATACAAGTTTTTTCAGAATTGCCATTAGGAATTAGAAAAAGATTTTGTAAAATAGGTAGAAATCTTAAAATTTAAATTAAATTCTATTTCTGAGCATATTTTCCTTGTAGAGGGACAAGATAGACTGGCAGAAAAACCTGCCAGTGTATCTCAGATGCTGTGAGTATGAGTTGCCTTGTTCTCATAAATGACTTAAAATTATTTGAAGAAAGGCAGTTACTAAGGGGAAAGTATCATCTATCTGACTTGCAGTATGCAATGTCTTCAACTTAAGGAATTGTGACTCCTTGAGGTGTGAACAGAGGTTCAGAATATGCTGCAGTAAACTGGGGGAACAGACTCTGGAGGTGGGTGCTGAGCCATAAATAGCACAAAGCCTGCAACATTATGGAGGAAGGAATGAGTACAGTTCACTCATTTTTTTTCCAGGGAAAGAGTATATGCATATTCCAAGCCACTGGAAGAGCATTCACTAATGCATGCATGGAAGTTTGAAAGGACTGTTGGGTCTGAAAACCCTTCTTCCAGAAAGGACAAAAAGCCAAAATACCTGATGCCTATCAGGTCAAGAACTTACCCAAGATTAATTGGTGGAGAGTTTCAAAAAGATCCCTATGAACTTCTGCAGAGGACACAGAGTGCTTTCTGGAAGGCAGAGTTGTTCCTCCATCCCTGTGGAGCTGGTGGAAGGACAGCCCAGAGACTGCAGATGAAAATCCTGGCACCAAGCAGCAAGAGCCTGCTGAGAGGAACAGTGAACCAGCTGCCAAACCCCAGCAGCGATGGAGAAAACTTTCTGCAGACTACAGAAGACTCTGCCAGGTGTGCTGCTACCTGGGAAGGCACTGGGTTGACTGGACCAAAGCCTGGAAGCAAGGTTTGATCTTTGTTTGAAAATCCACCAAAGTAAAATGTCAAGACACATCTATTGCAGAGCTGCGCTTACTTAGGTGTTGTCACGGTATTGAAGAGCTATTACTAATTAAAGCATTAGCAGAGCAAATCACAAATCAAAGCTGGGATTTAAGTTTGTGAGCTAGCTGAGTGAACTAGAGTTTCTTCCAGGCTGAAGATATGTAGCAACAGAAGGAGCAACAGGGCTACTGACAGCAGAAAACAAAAGGGATAGTAGAAGAGCAGAAGGTTTCCAAGCTGAATTGGCTAGGTGCAAATCTATAAGGAACTGAGAGGAGGACAGGAAGTGACCTTCTAAGTTAGAAATGTGTGAGTACAGAGCAATTTCTCTGCCTTTGAGTGAAATGTCCAGCCTGTGGGTTTCTGCAATACAGATAAAGCTGGACTGAAGATTACACCAGCCCACAATCATGCTGCTTGTCCCCTGGTCATGTGCAGCAGCAACCTGGTCCTACGCTAAGATCCAATTTTGTTACAACTTCCAGCATGATGTGTTTAGTTGAAATAAACTAAAAAAGAATTGCTTAGATGAAGCTCAAAATGCTTTTCTTTATAGAAGAAAACCTCAGCGACACCAACTAATAAAGCCATGTGGAAGATATAACCTATTTGGGCATCTGAGTGTTAACTTTCTCCCTTGACAACACCCATTTCAGAAACATTGAACTATTTACTGTCTCTGAAACATCTGGACTTTCTACTTGTTTCATAAGTCTCTAACAAAAAATATCTACACATCATCCATCAATCCACAGCCACATTCTTTTCTCACCCTATCATGATTAGATTCTTTGGGAGGTTTTAGGGTTTTTTTTTCCTAATGCTTTTCTCCCAGTTTTTCTTGGACATCATTGTAGTAATTATTAATGGGCTCCATATATGCTCACTTTGAGCCATCAGAAACTGAACTAGTTTGTTATATAAGCTGGAGAAATGGGGACTTTTGGGGACCTGGCCTCTTTCCTTAGCCACAACTGTCCCATTCTGGCAAAACTGAGACAGACCTCAAAGCACTATTTGGAGGAAAGTCCAACTGCTGTTAAGATGTGGAGAGCAGTGGTGTGGTGTTTTGTCCAAGATACTTCTTTGATAGGAACAACCAGTGCTCTAAGTGAATGGAAACACCTAAATCACCCCTCTGTAAGGAAGGAGAGAGGTGCTTTCTCCACACTCAACTGTTACTTTGTGAAAGAAAGCCCCTCTCAAAGAACTGTGCCAGTCGTGTAAGCAGTCATCGATAACCTTAGCTACATCTATTGTGATATTAAAGAGAATTGCATATCCAATTGTGGAAGTGCCATTTTCGTTCCACTTTAAAAGTCATGGCTGGGGAATCTGCCCACCCATGGGCTGGCACTGGGGAAGGTTTCTTGCAGGAGCATGAGGACAGCACGCCACCAGTGACTTTAAGCTGAGGCCGAGCCCCTCTGGCCAGCACATGCTCCTCCACAGTTTACGCTGCTGAGTGCTTTGCCTTTCTCCTTCTCTTTTGCACCAGTGTCCTTTTTCCACATTACTCTTCAGCCAGACAAGTCCCCCGACCCAACTCAGTGTGCAACTGCATATGTGCAATCAGTGCAAGACACTTGTAAAATTAGTTAGCTGTGAAAGTGCTGAGCTGGGACGAGCAGGGAAGCCAGGAATCTGGCTGAGCCCATCGGGGGCTCAGTTTCTGGTGGGCGAGCAGCCCCTCAGGGCGGCCAGTTTGCTGCCAGGTAATGGGAGGAGCCGGCTGATAGCAGAGCCTTGCGTGGGGATTGTTTCATCTGTCAGGCTGCCAGGGGATACACAACAATTGCAATTCCACTGCTCCTCCCTGCCACGAAGATTAGGGGAGTTAGTCATGTGGAGCTATGAGGCTGATAGGAGAGACGATAACAATGCACAAGCATTAGACTGGTGTAACTGTTAAGGAAAAAAAGGATGGTTCAAGGATGTGTGTAATTAAGAATAATGGCTTGAACAAAAAACATCTTTTTGTATGTGTTACTATTTTTATATGACCTCTGTCTGGAACTCAGAAAATAAAGCTGAGGAGGAATCACAATCTTCTCAAACAATATTACAAAGTGAGACCTTGCTCTTGAAAATAAATCAGCATGTCAGTTTAAAATTTGTTAATTTAATTTGTTTGAATACCAGATTAACAAAGAAAAAACAGTTCAAAGAGCAGACCCTTTCTTTCTGATCAGCCTGTGAAATAGTCCTGTAGAGGGAGATTGAGATTTTTTTAATATCAACAATAGTGGAAACCTTGCTGTGATTACCAGATAATTCATCCACTATCAGTAAAAATCTTGTTAATAAAAGTGGTATGAAACACAATATGCCTGAAAGAAGGAGTGAGGAAAGTATGTAAGATGATTTTATTTTCTCTTCCAATCAATTTTTCTATTAGGTATAAAAAAACCCAAATAAACACTGGCAAAAATACCTGGGCGAAATAGCTTTTTATCAGTTAATCAAAGGTGCTCTCTGAAGTGCCACGCCATGGAAAGGGAAGCTGGCAGCTCCGCTGTCCCATCTGGAGGGTGAGGAACGTGCCCTGTCCATGGGTAGTGCAGAGGGGGCTGTGGGGAGCTGGGGTGGGCAGGGGGGTCCCAGGCGCTGCTGCCAAGCCCCAGTCAGGCTCCCAGCAGCTCTCAGCCCATCGTGCAGCACTCACCTGCCCAAAGCCAGGCCAGCGCTTTAACCAGACATTTGCTTTGGCACCAGGTGCTTGGCATGGGGGACTGCACATAAAATCCAAGTACTGGCTGCTCCTCACACAGGGTAACTCTAGAAGAGGCAGAAAAAGGACAGGTGGGGGAAGAGGGTGAGGAAAAGAGCAGACAAAGGTGGTGAGGAGAGGAGGAAGAAAGGAAACCTAGGACAGCATCAAGGGCAGAAGAAGCGAATCAACAAGACAAGTGGACAAAGTGAGGAATACTTTATACCAAAAGCAGATTTCAGACATGTAAGAAACTCTATCTACTTTATCTCAGTGCTCATCAGAACTTTCTGTACTGTTCTGCTGCTCCTCTGTGCCTTTGCCCAGCAAATTCTGTCCAACAGCCAGCTGGGTATGCACCGTGCCTCTAACACACCAAGGCAGAGCCAGCTGCCCTTCCAGGCTGTGCTGGAAACTTTGGGAAAAGAGAAAGAAAAAAAAATTCTGTTCTGCAAGGCCTGGTGGTATTCCAAGTACTTGAGACAGAATGTAGGTTAATGTAATGGGGATTTAACATTTCACCATTACTAATCAAAGTTATGAGTTTGCCAGCAAAGCCATCACAGACCACCTTTTCAGGCACTGAGAACTTTGCTGTGATCATATGTTCTGGGAGTAACAAATTTTCTCTGTTTGTAAAATAAAAAGCCATTGTGTGGCTGCTGAAACAGTGGAAGCTGGGACACACAAAATGTGAGCATCAGTGAGGAATGTTTGGAAGGTATGAGAGTAGGAATAGTGTCTTCTCACACCATCTTTAATATATTGAACAGTAATGATTATTATTAAACAGAGATTAACATAGGACTCAAACTTAGGCAACTACTTTAAATTAGTAAACTCTAGAGGTTGCTGCAAATTTAATTAAAGGCTGATATAAACAACCATGATTTTTACTGTCTTCTGAAACTGGATAACCACAAGCTTTGGCAGATGACCAGAAGAACCAGTCTCATCAGTGTATATCTCAGAGGTGCCTTATTCTGCTCCTGGGAGATAAACCACCATGAATCATGAAGAAAAGTAAATGAAGCTGATTGTGAGAACTCCACAATGAGATAAAGGGAAAGAGGCACTTCATCAGGTAGGTAGGTACCTCTAAGTTTACACAGGGACTGAGAAAAGAATAACCAATATCTTTTCTAAAACTGCACAACTAACAGAAAAATGTTGAGAAATTGGCTTCTCCCTGCCCCAGATTAAGCATTTTCCAACTAGGGTTTACAAGTGAAAACAGGGAAATGATCATTCCAGCGTGTTAAACATAAGGTATTAAGCACACACATTTTATTCTGTCCTTCATGTCCCCTCGGGTGGGACTGCAGCTCACATGCTTTCACAGTGCACAGTAAGAAAAAAGCTTCATTATAAAACTTGATGTTGATGTCCAGTCTCTGACACAACACTACTTCCTACTTTGGGGAAGGTACCCTTGAGCAGTAGGAAGCTCTTTTTCCCTCTGGATAAGACAGATAAATTACTTTTCACAGACCATCTTAGGAACAGAAGTACTTGCAGCAGTCTCTCATAGTAGTCTCTGAAGTAAGAATGAGATCACCCCTGTCTCATTCGCCTAATGGGATGTGCACCAGAACATTTCTGTCACACTGATCACAACGGGCTGTGTGAAATACATGCTGGCTTCACACTGGCTGCAGGAGGGACAAGGCTGCTTGTGGTTGCAGCATTACCCAGCAACACTTCAGAAAGCTAGACCCAGCACTGGGAGTTTCCACTGCATCTCAGCCTTGCAGTGTGAGGGGTTTTGGAACCAGCATTGCAGATGGCTCCCACTGGACCATGGGCTGATGTATCAGTAAAATTAATCTAATGTGAAAATATGTAGCTGTAGTAAATACATATATACATATAAAATACAGATGCAAAGTAAGAGACGAGAGGAGAAGGAGGTTAATGAGTTAAGGATTTTAAAATTAGACAAGATATGATTCACTGACAGTTGGTCTCAGTAAAGTGGCCAGCCTAATTAAAATATCATCAATAATCCATTAGATGACTGGCAATAGTTTATGTGCAGCAACGATTTGTTAAAATAGCGTCATGTATTTCATAGCAATGGAATTTACAATTTTGTTCAGAGGGGAAAATAAACAAACAACCCTTTTAGTTTTGAAGAACTTAAAAATATATGGTGTAATCCATTGCAATGTCATATGCATGACACCAATGAGGATCTGAAACAATGCCTCTGACTTGTGTGAATTGATCCAATTTATCTTAGTCCTGTTTCCTGAGGCTCTGGGCCCCTGTGCTCAGCAAGGCAATGGCTATGCAATTTGGCATTTCATCAGGGTGCCACCAAATTCAGCATTCCCTCGTGGAATTCCCTATTTTGCTGCAGGCAGTTGCTCAACCTTTTGTTTTCTGTCTTCTGACTTGCCTCTTACCTCCTCTCCTTTCCCCATGGGGAGGAGGTAATTGAATTCCAAGGCGTGCTCCCTCTACTCCTCCATGGAGTCAGGCAGCAGGGGGCTGGAAAGTGACCATCTGAGTGCAGCCTGTGGCCAGGAGCAGAGTAAAGCGTGTTGGATCTCATGCTGGGACTCAAAAGGAGCACAGCAGCTACGAGACCTGGGCAAGGGCTCCTGAAACTGGCTGCAAGAGCCCTGCTTCCCTGGCAGTCATGAGAAAGGAGGTTTAATGTCTATTTCCAAAACAGCTTTATGGGAGCCAAGATCTTGGGTATAGGCTGGGGCCCTATGAAAGGATGATAGAAAAAATCCCAGCCTTAGGACTTATGTGGGCAGGAGAGTGGTTTTGCAAAAAATCAAGTGTTGCTGAGTCCTGGTCATCTTCCCACTTTGTCCAAATCTCGACAAAAAATATTATATCTTAGGACAATTATATATATTTCATTTTGTTTTTAAAATACCTACATAAATCCTTGTGTGTGGAAAACTGTTAATGGTCTCGATACTCTCTCACATAAATGGAATTAAATTATGTTTTGGCTTGTGTTGCAAAAACTAAAGGGGCGCTTGGTGACGCACAGCCTTTCTGCTTGAGCCCCTTTCCTACCCTTCCCAAGTTTTTACTCTTTCCTCTGACAGACCCACACGTACCCATTCTCCATATTAGCAGTTACACAAATGGGCCACAGCAACTGTTTCCCCCCAAACCCAGCGCCTTCGTGCTGTCCCACTCCAGCAGGCCGGATCTCCCACAGGGACTGTCAGTCCCTGCCTGGAAGATGAGAGATGTTGCCTTAGCGCTTCTTTCCCTCCTGCCGAACGAGGGTCAAACGTGCCCACACCTTTCCCTAAGCCCTGGTTCCCTTACAGCATTTGTGACACCCTGCCTCCTGTCACACAGGGAGCACGAGGAGGCCTAGAGGGCACCGCTCCGCCTGGGGCTCTCTCAGCTCCAGGTCTTGGCTGGGACCCTGCACCCCATCTATGCTGATGTGATGCTGTGTCTTGTCTGCAACATGCATTTTCAGCCAGGACTGCATATTCTTCCCACACTTGCAATGATACGATTTTTTTTAATCGTAAGAAACAATATTGCCTTGGAAAAAGCTAACACATTTTAAACTGTTTAGTTGAAATGAATATTAACAAGTTTTTTGAGGATGAAGCACAGGGAAAAATAATATTTTAGGGACACAAAAGTGTCTAGAACATGGTAAAATGGAATTTTGGCCCATTTTGCAAAGGAAAAGTTTTTCTTGTGGAATTCTTGCAATGAAGCTGTATTGAGAAAAAAACTTATTAACTACAATATTGTCCTATCTTTGTAAAGCACCATGCTATGAGTATGCCCTTTGTCTTCACAACTGCATAATCCTATTAGGAAAAAGAGAAAGTAGTTCTTGCACCATGATCACTTTGTCTCCTACTCATCTCACTATGACATAATGAAATTGGAGTTGGAGGGATAGGACAGGATCCTGAAAGTCATCCCATGCTGACATCTTCCAGGTTGGAACAATAGCCAAAGGTGTTTGCAACAGTACAAGTTCGACCTTTAGATTTATCAACCTTCAGGAGTTTGAAACCAGCTTTTAAAACATGGGTTTCAATATAGAGTGGTGGGGCTGAAAAAAAATGGTGCTGTTTTTTCTTTACAGGAAACAACAATTGCCAGCATGTCATATCTGTGCTGGGCAGTGGAGTGAGGCTGCACAGGGGCAGTGAGGGCCATGTGGAGGCCTCCTTCCATTTGACTGTACAATTCCAGACAACATCCCTGTTGCCCTTGGCTGTGTCACTGTGAAGCCTAACTCGGCCTTGGAAGCCTCTTGTTTTTTCTGTAGTAGTATAAAAGTCTACACAGATCAGACTTTGTTTTGTCTGCCATTTAAGCTTACCACCAGTGTTGTTCATCCAGGCATTCGTGGTTTGTAATTGCATCTTCATGTGGAACAGCAGCAGAAGGAAAACAAAGCTCTTTCTGGTTTTTGTTTTATGCACCTGTGTGTGTGTATCTGCACACATCAGTGGCTTACCAGACGCCGTGCCTGGATCCTGCTAGGAAGTAGGAACAGAAACTGCACCAAAATAGCAGGGAACAGGACTCACAGAGAGTGCAGTGGCGTATTGTGCTAGTGACCCATGATTTCAAGTAGTTT